CCTTTTGCAACTAAGGATGCTTAATTACAATGTTGCCTCATATGAATATGTGGTAGTGGCCATGAAGTTGTTAGGTAGATACAAAATCAAGTTATGAACAGGAAGGAGTTATTAATTTTTTGGAACTCAGTTCGGGTAGAATTAACGTACTAAAATTTTAAACAAACTTGCATTACAGATTCTTTTTTTTATGAAATAAAAACAGAACAATAACCCCTCCTTCGCTACCAGCATATGCTGACTAAACGCCAGTGGGAGACAGCAGGCCTTATTGACTATTGCTAAATATTTAAATTAATAAAAAAAAATACTCTCAACTATTCTCTAGTATAGATATTACATCTAAAATATCTAGATGTTTGTATGTCTTGGTATTTTTATAGTAATTTAAAGTGTATTATTCTTTGTTTAACTTTAAACGAATGAAATAAAGAATTATTTTAATTTGATAAATACTCCATTTGTACCTATGTATAAAAAAATTGCTTATTAAACTTTCGTGTAGTTGAAATATTAAAAACTGTCCTAGCAATTTTGTCAACGATTATACTATTCATAATCTGTAATCATTGTTGCACCTACAATGTTTTTAGACATGCATGTTGATTTTACTACCTCTACTACATATATATTAAGTACTTTTAGTGCTTCCTGCCTTATTCTAATGGTTTCGTATATATTTTTTTATTAACTTTTTTAAAGAATATTAGGGAATATCTAATCAAAATAGTAGGTCGGTATCTACAATAGATATTTACTAATATATTTGTGGATTGTCTCCTAAATAGGTATATAATAAGATCGGTAAATACATGTTATATATAAATTAATAGGTTACCTAGGCAGGTTACCTATTTATTAAGGTATATCAAAAAAATAGTAATTCATAGATAAACATCTAAATATATCAGTGTACGCTGTAAATAAGTACTGTAATATTGTATGTAAGTATTGTTTAAATGTCTTTGGAATATTATTTTAATCTTAATTTTTTTAGAAATCCACTACTAATTAAATTGTTGTTATCTGCCAAAAAACGACTCTACTAATATCTATGTTTAGTTAATCCCTTAAACACAATTTATTTTCTATTTATTCTTTATTGGTCCATAAATTACAAAAATATTTGTTTCTTTTTGTAAGTAGATACTTTTTAAATATACCTAGCAAGCAAATATCAGCACTGAGAATTAAACAGAAATTGAACTACTTACGATACCTACCTATTGGGGTATCTGCCTTAGAATTTATTAGTTAAACCAAGGGTAAAATTGATATCAATGTGACATATATATATTTTAATATTTGATTAGGTATATTAAATCGTTATTAGGTTATTTATTTCTTTTTACAACTACCTACCATGTGATAGTTTATAAATATATTACTAAAGTTAAAAATGTACTCTGGACTATATTTTTAGTAAAAATGTAGAGAACCCTAATTAGCAATTGTGTAGTACATTATTTTAGCACGTCTCGGTGCGCAGACGCAGCGTGCCTCTGGGAGGAGATGTCGCCGCGCGCACCGGCCCCGCCCCTCCGGTTAATTGCACCAATCTGAGGCCTCAACGCAACCCACACACGCACATACAAGCACGCACACACGCCGCAACCAACAAACACTGCATTTGGCAAATGCAAGCATTTTCATAACCATTGTCATTAAATAACAGTATGTATGCAAGGGAAAATAATTATCAACCGGGACACGATCAGATAACCAGCTGGCGATTACCGCATTTATCCCATTCTAATATGAACAGTATCACTTTAACATAAGGTCCATATCAAAATGAACATGTTCACAATGAATGGGAATATCTGTGTTCCTATTAAGTTATTATTAAGCCAGTTTGCAGAAAAATATACTGCTCCTATGATTTCGACATATTCAAGTCTAATATCTCAGTTATATTACCATTTTTTTTATTTAATACTTAGGTATAGCACTAATTTTAAATTAGGTTTCCTGTATTTCGCTTTTAATGTTTCTTTATAAAAAATCTTTAGGTATAATATAATAAAATTAAAAGTTAAGTTGTGCACCTAGTGCCTAGGTAGGTAGATACGTAGAAATTACAATAAGTTACATACAGTAACTATTAGGCATGCTATATACTTATTGACAGTTATATGCCATATAAAAAATATTTATTTGCAAGTATTGTGATAAAATAAAGCTGGTACTACATTCTTACGTAGTTAGGTACCTACCTACTTACTACAAATAATTTAGATTAGAATTATTAGATATAAGCATATAGCCAAATACCTTCCTAAGTAATGTATTAAGTCTCGAATAAAATAATCACTTTAATTGCCTATATTCGAAGATATATAATACGAGAATGATAATATAATAGATATTTGTTTATTTTATACAACGTTATTTTAATAAAAGGGCATGCCAAAAAATATTTACTAATTCTGCCAATACCTAAGTAGGTCTTACAAGTAAGTCTTGTATTGAAAAGAGATTATATCTATAGCTACTTGGAAACCTGAGAATTAACAGCGTACAGCCTTGTTACGACGTTCCTCATCAAAGATTTTCCCCGGACAAAATTATCGCTCTATCATACAATCTTATAATTAATAATAAAATCTGTATTTTATTAAAGATCATTATACTTAAACAAATTTCATAAACTTGGTTAGTATATCGATATTATCTCGAAACCAGTTTCATCAGATATCATTCTGTGCCTCTGATTGATTAATATTTCTCCTGCCTCCAAAAACATAAGTAAATCATGTGGAATAGTAAAAATTTAATTTGTTAAAAGTAACGCTTTAAATATTATAGCTAATTATATTTGGATATTACGTTTCAGTGTCCTGTAACACTTTAATATCCCAGGTGTAACATTACAGAAGTTAGAGCGGGCATAGGAACTATAAAGTTTTGGACAGTTCCATATAAATAAATTTGAACATGTCATCAATCGTTTGGCTGGCCCATAAATAAGGGAGGTACGTCAAAATGGCCTCATATCGTATTACCTTAGGGGTCACGTCTGTACCATAGCAGCCGATATTAAGTATTTGTATACCTACGTCAGAGGAATTCTATTTTTAAATAATTTAAAATAAAATTTATTATTTTTAAACTAATTGACCTCCGTTAGATAAAATGTTATTCATCTTTTAATTGAATGAATTTACTGTAAACTAAAAATTACTAATACTATAAATGTAAAAAGTTACTTTATCTGTTTGTTTCTTATCTCTTAGTTCCTTAAAATCTCAACCAATATTGATATATAATGGAATGATTTTAGATACATAAGGATTATGATACTTTTTATTTCGGTCAATCAACACATCACGATTACATAAAAGATGTCCCGGATAAATCTAGTAAACAATATAAAAGTTATAGATAAGTTAAAGATAGGATTTTTATTTTGTATTTAAATAGCATGTAATTACCTATTGTAAATTACATATTTTTATTAATATAATTGCTTTGAAAAATTTGTACCTACCGAAACATATGTCTGAAAAACATTTTCATAAAAATTGACTTAATCTTTTACAAAATTATTGTCACCCATTTAGTCAGGGAAGATTCCAACGAATCGATCAGAATTATTAGATACTTTTATACCAATAAAAAAAAGGTAAAAAAAAATATTTTTAAGACGATTAATTAAAGACGTGCACATATCTGTCTCGCATTAAACGTAAGCATTACCTGATAATAACCAATGTTAATTCGAGACGTGCAAGTAAATAAACTAGCCTTAATACAGTGGACAGTGCCGGTTAGCGACGTAGTGCGGCCGCTCGTAAAACCACGTCCCAAGTGAAAACGATTCGAGTTGTCATCGCACTCACTTTATGTGACCCTCGGTACACTTAAAAATACTTTTTACTACTCCTTCGTACTTTGCAATTGCGAAGACACAGATCAAACAAAGAATATTATCATGTTTAATACACAAAAACCAAACAAAGTTTTTTCCGCAATCATTAAATGAACTTACTATTTTTTTTTATGTACTGTTCTATTACCAACTGATACGTCGTTTTACTGAGTTGTAAATATAATTATTTTAAAAATAAAAAAGACATTTCGTTTTCACAAAATGACCTGTTGTTTTCCTTTTTTAAAAGCATTAACAGCTAAAATGTACACATAATTTCACATAATACCTAAGTGAGCTAATCGAGAAGCCGACGCCGTGTTGATCAACCGAATACACCAGATTCAGATATAATCAGAATTACAAGAAGCCACATCGAGCAAGACACTACACGATAAAGTTTACAAACAACCCAAATATCGCTCAGCCGCCCGTCGCCGCTGCCCTGCCCGTGTTCGTCTGGGACTCCCATAAACTACAATACATAACTGCTGTGAACGCGACGAAATCAATTCCCAGTTCCGATTCCGAGAAGTGACACAGTTTCTTAAGTGTCACATCACTACCGGCGCACCGCTAAATAAATTCAAATCGCCCTCGTCCCTGCGCGGACCCCAAGCCCCACGCCAATCTAGTCCCTAAGCACCATGCTCTAGATGAACTTTTGTATGCGCCCATAAGTGTAGTTAAAATATAAAGAAGAGCCACCTGTCTCCACGAAAAACTTTATAGCGGCCATAAAATTTAAACCTCAAAAAGAAAAAACAAAAAGATGGTATTATTTTTTTCGTTTACGGCCGAGGCCCATTTTAGATCGTGTTTACCTAACCTGTCACCTTACAGAATGGCGATTTTGACTGGTCGGGTCCGTTGAATTAATTGTGGAGTTTTGGAGAGATATCGTCTGATGGACGATAACGTCCGACGGCTGCCTACCGGCCGTGGGAGCAATTTGCTTAAATCTGACAGATTCAGCTGCGGAATTAGAGGTCCACTTTGCGCACTTAATTACTACGACATGTAGCAGAAGTTAATTAAAAAAACAATATTTAACATATCTATAAACTAAATCTAATAAGTAAGTATAATCCCGAAAACGTAGGTTTATAGGATAATAAGTGATACTCACCGTGCGAACTGACCGCGGCCGAATAGGGGGCGTGCATTTGCTGATGGTAGTAACGGGCGCGGCTGTGGTGACCGCCTTCCAGCGGTGAATGGAAGAACCCGTCTCCATTCGCCTCTGAATTGACGTCGCCGGCGGCCGGGCTGCCGTTGACGCGGCTCTCGTACCACCGCTGCTGCAGCGCGCTCGCCCCCGCACCCGCGCCGCCGCCCTCTCCGCTCATGTCCATGACCGCCGCTCCGACCTCACACACCATGCATCGCTTTTATACGCACGCACTGTAAGTCCACACCCCTATCCGCATTTCAACAGTCAATTGTTTTGGGATTAGCTCGCGCTCGAACACTAATCGATGTCAGTCGAGCTCAGTCTTAGCATTTTTGCAGCTGCGGCTTTACAATGACGCTCTTAATCTTAAAGGCGAATTCATATTGCACGTATCTGTAAAAAGAAAGACAAAGGTGAAAAAAGGCACTTCGTGTTTTGCGCAACATCAAAGTAAAAAGAATATAATCCAAAGCTGGTATTTTGTCAAAAAAAGGCAATCAATTAAGATAATAGTGGTGCGCAATCGTAAGACGTCCGAGATATCGATACGCTCCCAATTTGATTAGGAGATATCGCGCGAACAACACTCGATACCGCCGTGATAAGCGATAAGGGCGCATTAAGCGTTGTTAGCCAACCGAGCCGTGATTTTTATTGCTACTAAATTCACTGAACGTATCTCTTCACTATATCTGTAGTGAGCGTACGGCTAGTTACTTGACACTCGATGAAAAACCTGATATTATTGCTTGAAACGATGCCAGATAGCTAAATGACTTCTGTTCTACTGCTCAGATTAAGATATAGAATAAATGTAATAAGTGCGTATGATTTAATAACCATATTTTAATTTTTACTTTGGATCAATTAAAAAACTACCTTTTTTCTTTAGATTTCGATAAATCATCGTCATTCTCACAGATATACATCGACCATTGAGTTTCCTTAGTCGCTTCTTACAACACCCAAGGGGAAAGAATATCATCCATTAACTGTCCACTTTTGAACATAAGCTTCCCGTCATTAGGAAAGGGGATGGGGGGGGGGGTTATGCCAGTAGTTGCCTCGCTAGGCAGGTGGAGTGACAACCGCAGTTAGGCTTTGGAGATACTTTAAGAAGGGCGCTGCTGCCCATCGCTCTCCCTCCCTTAGTCGCCTCTTACGACACCCATAGGAAAGGTAGGGCTGGTCTATTCTATGCCGGGACCACACAGCATAACAGATATGTATATACCTTAAAAAATGGTAAATTAATTTGATACGATCGCATTTCCCTAAACATCGACATAATCTATTAAGGCATCTGATTTATACGTTAGGCATAACCGAATATTCAAAAATGGAACCCAAACAAACACACAAACTCAGTGTGTTTGTTCTAACAATGCATATTAATATACGAGTAAGTAGTTCTTAATCATTGATTACACAATTCACACCGCCGCCAAGCAGTCTCCTTGTTTATATTAGCATTTCAAATTAATTCAAAACATTATTTGTAATTTCAAATAAACGAGCGCATTATAATAATTATAAGTCTTGAGTCTATCTATGATAGTAAGTAATAATAGCGGCTGAGTTGTAACTACAAAAAACCGTATAGTCGCGTCCGGTAAGCCACGTTAGGATAAAAAAATATTGTAGAAACTCTTAACGCTAGAGGGCGCTACCCTTACACTAATGGTATTAGTATTTGAAACTACTGGAATTAGGCCACTTGTCATAATGATATATCAAGAACTATTTCCTTATTTACTGTCTATATCCCCGGGGGATTGGCACGTAAATCAGTATTAAAACCTAACCCAACCAGAGTATGGTTAATATTCGTATATACATTTACCAAACTTCATAAACATATTGTTTAGCAGTTTAAACGTGGTTAAGTAACAAACATACTCCTATAAACCTCTTTACAAACTTTTACATTTATAACATAAGATATGATAAAATATATTAAAAAAAAAAAATAAACAGCAGTCGTGTAACATTTTAGGTATATTATGTTAATTAAGTATATGTTACGCGTATTTTATATAAATCATGCTTGTATCCGACAAATATTTAAATAGTTTAGCCTAACAGTTAACGAGTAGGTGTAGGTAAAGAAAAAACACACAACTAAATAAGGTATGTTTCAGCTTTGCTTTTTTATTACTCATAAAGTTACAAAGATGTATATCACCAAGTACGAACGGCCATGTTTATGCTAAGTATTGCTCCATGGCCTACATCAAATTACGGTAATGATAAATTATAAACAAACCTACTTATTCCCCATGAAAAATAAATATTGTTGTTTCTCATAATATGAGATAAACGGAGTATTCAAAGTATGCCTCCGTTTATATCTCTATTGTTTTTATTTTTTTATTTTTATTATTTGAATTTCCGTTGAGAGATATGTATATTATAATTACTCGCCTAATATAACTATTATGTTTGATAGTTATCTAATCTAATGTATAAGTAGGCATTATGCTTATGCGTAATCTTTAAAGGAAATCGTAACGCGAAAACAACATCGTATTCCAGACTGAAATATTCAAAAATATATTAAAAAGACATAACAGTTAAAATTGAAAATTATTTAAAAAATATTTATTTCATGTTCATTCGCCAATAAAATGTTAAATACTACTTCTAAAAATGTACCTAGAGAATGAGAGAAAAGTATTTTTTATGCAATTTAGAATGGCAAACAAGCTGACCGCCCACCTAATGGAAAGTGGTAACCGTCGTCTATAAACATGATCAGTACCATGGACATAACAGAGTATACTGTTTCGCCCATGATACCTCCCATGCGTTGCCATTCCTGAGGTCTCAGGAATGGCAACGCATGGCACCCTTTAAACCGAAGCACAGCCATACAAACATAACTGCTTAACAATAGAAACTCATTTTTATACGTTGGTTAATTGTCATATTTTCAGGTCGAGATTTCGTTTGAAATGAAAATTCAAGTATTTTTGCAATATATTTTGTAAACGAGTTAAAAAGAAATCTATATGATTTCTACAGTATGTAACTGTCACTAAGTGGCGCATTTGGCAATTAATTATTTAGATAAGATATCAACGTCAAGTGCAGAATGATATCAAATATCGATTTACTTATCTTAATCATTATTAAATATCGCAGTTTTTCTATAAGTTTTTCATTAATTACTTGTATCCAACCGTTAATACCTATTTGTACTAATAATTTTATATTTTCATAAATTATTTTATTATATCTGAAAATTTCTGAGAATTCAATTAAGAGACCCTCAATCGGAATATTCTAGTCACAGTTATACTTACCTATAAACTATTCTGAATACTATAATGGATTAATTAATTTACATTTAATTATTTTACATATAATAATGTTTTAATAAAAAATAATAATTAAATTAATAATCAGTCATATTTATGATTCGTAATGACCCAAAGGTCCTCATGACACTTGCGGCATTTCCGCGTTGGATAAACTATTTAGTTAAAAACTTGTGACATTTTCTATAAATGTAATTAAAATTGTATACCACGAAAAAACCTACTTTAATTGTGGCAAATCCTGTTACTTTTATTTTAATACTAAACTACTAAAAAGGTTTTGCTAAAATCTATATATGACCAATCTGGAAGTACCTATTTGTATATCCTTTCAGATAAAAGAAGAATTTTCCAAATCGGTTTGTAACTGATAAAGTTATGAAGGAACAAACAAACAAAAAATAATACAACCGAATTGATAATCTCTTCTTTTTGAAGTCAGTTGATAATGCCACAAAATTTATATCAAAGCAGGTACACATTTTTTGTTTTATAAACTCCATTAAACCAATAAAAATATTTTTAATTAATAGAAAGATATTTTATTTTTTTAAATAAAAAAAATCCTACAAAATAAATATCCTAAACACATTCGAATAGAATAGAGAATAAAGACGTAATCTACTTACCAGATCTGGACTACATAGGTACGTATACTTGTGAAAAATCGATTCATTGTTAAAGTTATAGGTGTTACAGACACTATCCGACGGGGCAAAAAAAACATTAGTCTATCTAAAACCATCAGATGTGATAACATAATCTTATATACGAGTATTTATCAAAACAAAACAATTTTTTGTCTGCAACAGCATTCGTATGAAATTATTACACGTAATTTGTTGACGCAAATTTTATAGTTTTCATTATCAAACATTCTGATATAAAAACACATCACCAATCTCATATATAAACAAGATATATCTACTAATATTACAAATATGAGAGTTTGTAAGTTTGGATGTCTGCACAAAATCACTTTTAAACAGCTAAACAGATCATATTCGAAATTAACACATGGAAGTACTTTATATTCTAATTTCTACATGCAAAACAACGAGATACAGTTGATTTTCTTTCGTATCCGGTGGGCAGGAGATGGCGAAAGGCCGCTCCATGAGTCCTTCCGTGGGTTCTGAGTGCCATCTGCACTCGCCCCATTTAAATCCGGTGAAGCTGTAAAGGCCATCTGCGGCCAACAGCATCAAGTATTTCGAAAAAAAGTAAATTTTCTTGCTCGGAATGCGTGACCGCGTGGTTCGCTTGAAAAGCCAAATATCATTTCTTACTGTAATTAGCCAATTACGGCTCGCCATCGATAGGGAGTTCATCCTCATGTCCTACAGCCTCAATGGTCGCGTACTGCGCGATTTCAGAGATATTTCCTCCCACGAACACTCAGTTTGTGGAATGAGCTCCCTGCCGAGGTTTTCCCAAGAGACTACAGCATGGGGTTCTTCAAAAAGAGGGTAAAGAGGTTTCTTCAGGGTCGGCAACGCACGCGTAATACCTCTGATATTGCAAGTGTTCATAGCCTATGGTAACCACTTACCATCAGATGGGCCGTATGCTTGTTTGTCAACACAGTGGTATAAAAAAAAATGTAAAATTAAATATATTTCATAGTTTTCTGATTGCACATTGTGCTTATTATGTGCTTAGTATGTGTGGGGTATAGCTTATATATATCTATATATCTAGGTACTCACGTACAAATTTATTTCTATATTGCCTATGGCCAATAGATAGATAAATTATTAACCAAAAAGTCCGTATAATTGCTATAATATTAAATTGCAGATTAAAAAATATTATGATTTGTCATTATCAATTCAACATATCGTTACTTATCAATTATTAAATAGGTATGATAAATACTTGGCAATTTATCAATTGCAAATATAATAATCCTTATAGAAAATATTAATACATTAATCATATGGCATTTACAATTACACTAAATTATTGAATGAAATAATACAAAATACTATTGGAATTTATCGAATCAAATACGATTTTTAATGTATTCATTGAAATCTACAAAAGTTACAATCAAGTTGTAAATAATATCAA